GCAACAACCGGTCGATACCTTCCAGAAAATTCCGCCGCTCTTGTATGATCAATTTCCCTGTCTTTGTACGATCTCAAAGCTGCACAGTTATGAGGCTGTCGGGCGATCCAATTTTAAGACCCGCAAAAACACAAGCAATTCTGGCTTCGCCAGGTCGACCCTCCACAGAAGTCCATTTTTCGAGGGCCTTGCAACCAGAACACGACAACTGCGCTGAGCTCCCAACCGGGCAGCAGTGCAAAGGCGACACAAAGGGAATGCAAGAAACCAGCGGACTGGATGGAGACCGTAGGTTCATCATCCAGCGGAAGCAAGAGGTACAGGATTTTGCTGCCGCAGAAACCAGACGGAAAAAAAAAAAACACAGCTTTCCCGCATGGTGGTTGCTGTTGGATAAACTGGATGGACTCCGGTTCTTGCTCTTCGATGCCAAGACCGGTATCAAGTCACCTGTTCATATCATCCAAATATCTCTCGCACCTTAAAGAGCCACCAAAACCAGCACCGGCTCACATGTCAGGACCCACGGCAGTGGAGAGCTCGAGAGCCGATCCGCAGCAGGGTACCCCTCTCGTTAAAACCCAAACGGGCCTTGAGGCACACTTCTAGGTTTAGTAAAAGGAGGTGCAAGCCGACTGACTGACTACGTCACGCAAGGCTACAGCAGTGAAAGCTAACAGCACTTTTACACCTCTCGTCGCAACCAACTGTTCACCACGCGCTTGTCACGCAGTGCAAGTCTTTGAGCCAAAGTGAAACGGGGCGCAGACAGAGACTTCAGCACACTCACTTCCGCGGTAAGTCCTAAGGACTCCTAACGGCTTCTCTGCACTGGTAACTCTGTTCTATGGCCCAGGTGCTCCCCGGACTTCGTCTAGAAGTCCGTTCTCACAGCAAACAAACTGAAAACACTCTGATGTTCATCATGCTTCAGGAAAGTTCAGGGAAACACCGTTCTTCGTGAAAACTCGTGAGGAAAACTCCGGTTGGACACGCTTCTGGTAATGATCACTTTCACCGCAAGGTGAGACAGGAAGCGTGAGCGCAGCGACCGACAGACAGACAACTTTTCCCTACTCCTACCGTTCACAACTACACCTAAGGTTCTCTAAAACTCACTAAGGAGAAAACAGAAAGTGTTCCTGACCTTGGCGAGACACAGGGGCACCATTATAGGATTGAAAATCAACTCCCCCTCATGAACCTGTCGTCGAGAAAAGGTATCGGTCCACTGGCTGCTGTTGCGTATTGGGCTCGTAGATCTTCTCACGGTCCACGATAGTTTTACGGCTCTTCCAAAAACGGCTGCGGCTGTACAAAGAGGCGTCAGCACCTACCAAGCACTCAAAGCCCTAAGAGCTGTGTGAGCAAAAGCTTCGGGGTAGTGCTGGGTGTTCTTCAGAACGAACATCTTACTATGCTCGTGGTTTCCAGGGCACTTTAATTTATCCATGCAGTGAATGAGAACATGACTGTTCGAGCACAACCTCCAAACCTTCTTCACAGGAAGTGCGTCCATTCCAACCATACCGCAGGCGCAGCCATGCACAAGAGCGGTCTCATGCGGATTGATCTTAAGGAATGACTTCGTAGCGGACCATCCCCAGTAAGCACAACGTTGCGGCCATTCAATGACCCAAGTTGCCGAATCAGATGTGTTGACTAGCTTCAAGAAGCTCTTCCAGAGCTTTCTGTGGACTGTGAAGAGTCCCTTAATTCTGTCATCATAGTGATCTGCAGATCGGGCTTGGTGATACCGCTGCCAAGGCGAACCACCGGTACAGGGCGTCGAAGCCCACACAACAACATGCATGTTCCGACGGTGCGCCGAACGAAGCGCATGCTCAATGAGCTCGATGGTCTCCGGAAGAGTCCCATCCGTTTCTTCCGTCACGGGAATAGCATGGATGCCATAGTGGCTAGCAAGCTTAGTCAACCAGGCTTCTCCAGAGGTGCAGAACTCGACCATCACAATGTAATGCGGTGTCTGCAACCGACAACGACCAACCAACACACTCCAAGGATCATCGACGCTTGCAGAAAACAGACCTTTGAACGCGGCAAACACAAGGCAACGGACCGGGGGCGCATCACCTCGAAGATAGTCACTACGGGTGAGACGTTCCTCAAGACACAACTGTCCTATATGATACCAAGTTTGCGCGACACTCAAGTTCTTTGTTTGCAAGTCGGCGACGTTATCCGTTCCTGGGACGTGTGTAACCAGGATCTCGCCGTTCTCAACCTTATCCTGCAAGTAGCAAAGACGAAGGTCCACATGACGCATCCTTCTCAGGAAGCCGGACATCATACTGACTTGGCGAGCGGAAGAGCTGTCCGTAGGCAGGTATAGGGGTTGCGCAACGCTTTCGAAAAGGTGGCCCAAAAGCTGCCCCAATCCTACAAGCTCGCGCGCCATCTCAACCATAGCGAAAAGCTCAGACTCCGCACTGGAGAGTGCTACGATAGGCTGGAGCCTCGAGTAAGTCTTGATACAATTCCCATTCAGGTAAATCACTCCTCCGCTGGTGCTCTTCCGTCCAGTAGAGTTTTGCACTGCTTTGATGCTGACCAGAGTATCGCTGTCATGTGGTGTTATCCGGTCCTTTAATTTAGTTTGTAGGGACCGAGTGCTCCAGCCGTAGTCGACGAGGCCCGCTCACGCCAAAAAAAAAAGACGAGGCCCGCCCACGCCAAAAAAATTCTGGCTTTGGCGGTGAAACTTGGTTGTTGAAGGGATCCGTTTAGATTTTGCATGGATGGAGATGCCGTTGTGCCAGTTGCGTTCCCACAGCTGGTGCAACGTGCACTCCTGGACCTCCCTCTGGAACGTGTCGTGGACTTTATACACTTTCATCTCTACAGCCAGGCCGCTCTGGATGCCGGGCAGAACGCCGGCAAGAACGATTTTCCAAAGGCACCAGACTGGTGCGGGTGGTGGACTGCCTCAGCTTTGGAGCTCACGTCGTTTTGCTTTCGTGTACGGTCGCGCTGCGAACCAGTCGAATGGCGGTGGGCCGACAGGCAGCTTGCTTCGGTTTGTGTTCTCGTCGATCCGCATTTTGGAGGTGGGCTCCACTCGTTGTCTTGGGTGGCTTTGGATGCCGATCAGGTACGTTTTCACCGCTGTTTTCATTTGTGTGTTTGTTGGTTTAACCGTTGTTTATTGGGACCGAGTGCTGCAGCTGCAGCCAACGAGGCCCGCTGACGCCAAAAAAAGCATGTGATCTGCTCTGTTCAGAAAGGCTAGACTCATCTCTGGAAAAATTTCTCTGTCTTCGTACAATCTCTTTTTGTGACCTTCTTAAAGCTGCACAGTCTAGCCAACGAGTGGGTGTTCTCGCAATCCTGCCTACAAAGAAGCAACTGTGCCGGCGGCCGATCAGGGCGGGCAACATGACACGGCAGACAAGTGGCCTCCAGCAGCGGCGGTACTGGAGCCACTTGTTGAGATGGCAGCCCATTGTGCAAAGAAGTTTGGAAGAGGATTCTGCGTCTCTTTCGTTTTTTACGTCTTTTTCTTGGAGTGCAGCTTCGCAGTAGACTTGTTGTCAATGTTCGTTTGCTAGACGAGGATGCCTGCGAGGCGGCGCCGAAGATGCAGAGGAGGCTGGAGGATCAAAGGCGGAGCTCATCGTCAGCGATGTTTTCATTGAGACAGACAGTTCCGGTCGCTGTCCGTCTTATGTAAAGATATGAAATCCTTTAAAAATAGTAGATGTAAAGGGGCTTCGATACTGATATGTGTTGACTTTGCAACGAAATGCAAAAAAAGTCAAGGCTTTTGAAAGAGCAACGCAGAAATCCACCCACATGTGCTGTGATTATGTCAAATGCAGATCCAATCGAATCAAGCTTGCGTCTTTCTGTGATGCAAATGCCGGTTCAGCATTGCAAGGGTGTCCGACAGAACTGCGCTTTCTCAGTAGCCAGTTCTTGAATGATGGAGCCCTCATGTGTGTGTGTGTGTACACACCTGAACATGGTGACAGAATGAGCTTTCTTGAAGAGGTAGACTGCCGTTTTGCCAGTGCAAGGGGGATGTTAACCTTGTCATTCTTTGCTGAAGCCGCTCGTTCAGCGTGCCCGATTAAACTGCACCTTCATTAGCAGCAAGGTCTGAATGATGGAGCTGGGCATTGCCAGGGCCTGTGTGTGTGTGTGTACACACCTGAACATGGTGACAGATCGTGCGTGACTGAAGAAGTAGACTGCAGCCGAATTGTTTTAGTGCAGGGGAAGAACCCTCATAATCGAAAGCAGCTCGTTCAGTCTTGCACCAACGAAGACACTGAACAAGAGCTGGTGATATCCTAGGGGATACCTTCACGCCCAAATTACCCCCAAGGGAAGCTGTTTCTACAGTTGGCCTCCAGTGCTACTGTGTGGTGGCTGCAATCTGTCAATGTCTAGTCACTACGTTTGGCCGGGAATCAAGGCCAACCGTAGGCCCCGAACGGTGTATCGCGCAGCACAGGTGTTTCGGAGATGCATGCCTGTGCGTGAATCTTGGCTTGGCTTTTCCCGCTCCCAACGGTAAGCTTCGAAAGTTGAGATTCGGTACGTGGTTTTCGGCTGTATCGCGCAGTATAGGTGCTCGGAGATGATCGAAGAAATTTAGCTGCAGCTGCAGTAATGCAACAACAGAATCCAGCGTCAGCTTCGTGATTCGCTACCAAAACGGATCAATGCCGCATCAACATGGCAGCAGTCCGTGCCGAGAACCCTGGCGTCCGCGTGGTTTCGTTAAGTTTCGACGTTTCCGGCAACGACCAACAAAATCCAGCGTCTCCTTTGGGATTAGGGTTGGGGTGATATGTAATTCCGGTGCTGATGTGTAATGCCCTGAAATGGCGACCACCATGGGGTGATGCATATTTGATGTGTGCGAACCTCCCCCTCGTAGGGTGGACTTTGAGCGGTTTTGCTTGGGTTTTTGAAAGATGCGCTGCTCTGCAGGTGTCTAACAAGCAAGACTTCTTATTCCTGTAGGTGCCGCAATGGAAAGGAGCCTTACAAAGGGAGAAATCGTCGAAGCTTGGAGCAACTCCGTTCAGGCATGGATCCCTGGCACCGTGGTCTTAGAAGCCCCGACGGCACCCTGCAGCATCGATGGCCAACAGATTCCAGCAGGTTTCATCAAGCTTGGATATCCTGGCGGTGCCACCAAGTGGGTTCCGCCCGAGCAAGTTTTGAACATCATCCGGCAGTCGAACACGTCCCAGACGTCCGGATATCCGGATCAGAGAATGGAACGGAGCTTTGCAAAGGGAGACACCGTCGAAGCTTGGAGCAACTCCCTTCAGGCATGGATCCCCGGCACCATGGTTTTAGAAGCCGCAAAGGCCCCCTGCAACATCGATGGCCAGCAGATTCCAGCAGGTTTCGTCAAGCTTGGATATCCTGGAGGCGCCACCAAGTGGGTTCCGCCCCACCAAGTTCTGAACATTGTCCGGAAGTCGAGCACTTCCCAAACGTCCGGGACGTCCGGGAATCCAGGGACGGCGCAGCCCAAGCCAGCCAAACCGGTGCTTTCTGATGCAGACGCCGATGAGGCCGAGTATTCTTTGACAGACCCGAACAGCTTGGCCGAGTTCTTGCGGCATGCCAACATACGCTTGGTCCGTGCTGGGTACTTATACCAGCTGCTTCGCTTGAAATTGCCGCTGCCCTGCCGCCAAGAAGCGGAGAAGGAGCCGGCGGCGCTGGTCCCCCACGAGGAAGTGAGCGCCTGGGCTGCGGGATCTCGGGATGCCATGATTGTCTCCGTCTCCCATGCCTGGGAAACGAGGGAGCATCCAGACCCTTGCTGTTACCAGCTGAAATGTCTGGTGGACGCCCTGGCGCTCTTCGATGCCGCTTACTATTCCGATATTTGGGTGTTCTACGACTTCGTCTCCTTGTTCCAATTCGAACGCCAGCCTGCCGAACAGGAGAGCTTCGACCGCTCCATGCAGAACATGCATTTAATGTATGCACATGAATGCACGCGGACTTTTCGCCTGGAGAATCTGACGCCAAGCGATGTTTGGCAGGCCATGGAGAGCAACCCGCAGCGTAAAGTGCGAGTCTATGATGTTGCGAGCCATTGCGTCCGAGACCGTGCACTCCGGGACTTGGTGGCCAACCGGGTTCCATACCTTTGCAAAGGTTGGTGCAAAGCCGAAGTAGCGTGGTCTTCCGCGAGGGACAATTCAGAGCTAAACCAACCGATCTTCGGCGATCCTCGTAGCGATCTTGGCGGTTGGTCTTCTTATTCCTGGTTGAAGGGCAAAGTGCCCGTGCCTCCCGAGATTTTCGAACAAGACATGCAGAGGTCCGAATTCACTCATCGGGACGATGCCGCAGCAGTGCTGAAGCTGCAGAGGAAAATTTTCTACTTGAAAGTTTCGGAGTGCAAACAGGCTTTGTTCTCAAACCTGGCAGAGGGTGAGTTATCGCGGCTGGCAAGAGCCCTGCCTGCCTACAGGAAGCTTAAGATTTTGCAGCTCGAAGACGTTCATGTGACGCATGCGGCGGCCGAGGAGTTCGCACAGGTGCTGGCATCGAACGAAACCATCAGGGAGCTTTGCCTGAAGTGTCCGCGGGGTGACGATCGCAAGGCTCTCGTCGAGGCCGTCATGCGGGCACTCAAGACCAACCGCACCATCACAACCCTAAAGCTCGTGAATGCCATCCTTCATGATGACAAATGCCAGTCCAAGTTGACCGTTCTGATAGGAATGCCCCCGCGAAGCACCTCGGCCAGCAGTAAGTGGGCTTGCCGATCAATCCTTACAAGATACAAAGCGATTCTCGAATCAGAGAGACCTTGAACAATAGGCGCATGTTGTGTGGGTGCGCAGCGCTGGACATCCCTCCTTCTAACAAGGAAGTGAGCGTGGGAGTCGATGAGGCCATGGCGAAGGACTTGAGCAAAACTTCGAAACTCAGCAATAATCACAACACTCGCCCTCAAACGCCTGGCCTGCCAAGGCACCAAGAGACTCACTCTCACTCTCACCCGAGGTGGCATCAGACTCGCAAGCAAAGAAGCAAAGTCAACAGCAACATGAGGCAACATGAGGCCTCCGCTTTTAGCTCGAAAAGCTTCTCTCTTTCAACAACCCAGACAGCCCCCAGCCGTCAGCTGGCCGTAGGTCTACACAGCAAGAACTAAACCACTGGGAACTCGGAATACGTCACTTACATAATCAGCCTTCCGCCGACAGCTTTTCGGAGCGCCTCCTCAGCCTTTCCGAGGCTCTCATTGTAGGAGCCGGAGAGATCGATCCTCTTGAGGGCGGGTTTGCTTTGCAAGGCGTCTGCGAGAGCCTTGCCACCGACCTCTCCGAAATAGTTCATAATGAGGTCGATCTCCGTGACAGTGTCATTGATCTTGAGTGCTTCTGCGAGTTCCCTGCAGCCCTCATCAGTCACGCTTGAGAGATTTATGCGGGTGATGGCGGAGCTGTGCTTCAGAGCCTCTGCGACGGCTTTGCAACCCTCATCGCCGATATGATGGCCAAAAAGATCAATTTCCGTGCCTGCGCAGTTGACCTTCAGCCTTTCCGCGAGGGCCTAGATGCGTATGCGGCCTGTGAAAGCCTCAGATGACTGTGAGTTGGGCTCGGCTGCGTTCGCAGAAGATGCCAGGCATGTAGACGTCTTGTTCCTCTCCAGCGCCTGTGTGAGGGCCATGCGAGCTGCGCGGGTGTCATCAGAGATTAAATGAGGGCCGGCCATGTTGATGTCGGTGATCGTCCTGTTCTTCTGGAGCGCGTCGATGAGAGCCTGGCATCCCACGGCAGTGATTCTCATGCGAAGCCCAGAAAGGTCCATGCTGGTCAGCACGCAATTTTTTCTCAGGGCCCTGGCAAGGAAGACGCAGTGCGCATCTTCGAGAAAGCAGCCTGCGAGGCAGATGCTGGTACATGAGGCGTTGGTCTCCAGCCCCTCCGCAATGGCCTCGCAGCCCCCACTGAGTGGATTCCCTGCAAGGCTCATGTTGGTCAGTGTTGAAGTCGTTTTCAGCATGTCCGCGATGGGAGTGTCCATATAGACTATAGACCCGAGATGTGTGGACCCCCACGTTAAAGAACCCCAAATAAGGTATATACTCCGAAATCAGCCAACTTCAACTTCATCCAACTCCACTTGGATGAAAACTCTGCTCCAAAAGTCTTCGTGCAAGCTTCGTTCATGACATCTTGCTCTTTTTCGGTGTCCACGATGGTCAACCCTAACCCTCAAACTCTAAACTCTAAACCGTAAGCCGCTGGAAGCAAAAGAGTCTCGTCAACGGCTTTAGTGGCAAAATCCGGCAATTCGTAACCTCAGAGTAAATATGCACGAACCCTGAAAAACCTTCAATCCCTTCGGGTGGGGGCTGCCGCAGCAATGCCCCGTCCTTTGTCCGGCAGTCTGCCTGCACCTCGCATGAGGCACGGCATACATATTTACCGGGTTTACCCGGGTGCTGAAGACGCAAAATTGCAGGAGATGTTGCGCTGCACAGATTCAGCTTGGCGGGTGGAATAGGGTTTAGGGTTTCGGGCTTGAGGCAGCATGGAGTTTAGTAGTTTAGTCGTAAGATCTCAAGGTGTCGGATATGTTTATGGATCCTGGGCCCGTGCATGGCAAAGATAGTATCCTGTTCTTTCCCCATCCTCGCACACCGTTGGCAAACCTGATACAACAGGGCATGCCGGCAGGAAGACGAGCTTTTGATGGTCTTCACGCCTTTGCATCTCCAGGCAGTTGACTACGATTAGCAAATAGCAAGGACACCAATTGCAGGGTTAGGGCTTGTAGATGCAAGGTTTGGGGCTACGAGTCATGTATGCGACGATGAGAACTGCATCTGCTCCGAAGGCTTTTTTAGCGTGTGCAGAATTGGCGCTGCAGTGAACGCCTCCTCTTGGCGTTCACCGCACGATTTCTCGTTTACTCTGTCGGAACAGCGAGAAGATGTCCTGAAGACATAAGAAGGCTATGAAGCGTTTTTAAGGATTGCTTCAGGTTTGAACTGGTTGAGTTTATCTTCCCTTGCCAGCGACAAGGTTGTTGAGGAATGTCCTTGATCGGGTGGGTGACAAGCTTGATCGCCAGGGCTACCAGCTCATACCATACACCAGCCCATGCTTGGCCAGCACAGCCTCAATGCGGTGAGCTTACAACAATGCAGACATGGAGTAGTGAATTTTGAAGGCCGTCAGTTAAGAGTGTAAAAGAAGAACATTTATCTTTTCCCAGTGTTATGGTATTCTTTGAGCAACTTGGATTTTTTGTTTGTGTTGAAAGCCACACTGCTGGAATCTTCTGGACTCGTGACTTGTTGCCGAGCTACTGGCAAACCTTAATCTTTTTTGCCTTACCCCTCAAACCGAAGACCCCAAAACCCCTAGACCCCTAAACCCCCAAACCCTAAACCCCTAAACCCCTTAACCCTAAACCCGTAAGCCCTAAACCCGTAAACCCCTAAATCCCTCAGCCCGTGGTGCGCCCGGACAGCTTTGGCTCTCAGTGACCTCTGCCTCACAGGGCAGGGCCCATCCTGAGGAAACGCCGGGTTGAGGGCTATATCCGTAGGTGGATTCAGGAGTTTCCGAAAATTAGGGGTACCTTATTTTGGGGTCCCTATGGGGAGATCTTACTATTTAGGGTGCGAAATATTAGTGTTTCCTATTTTCGGATACTCCCATTTAGGGGAAGGGTGGAGGTTTGGAGTTCAAGGCTTTGCAGGCCTTGGCGTTGCATGGTTCTGGATCTCAGGGTTTGGGCTTTCGGGGTTTGGGTCACATCTGGGCTCTGTGGGGTTTCGGGTGGGGGGTATATACGGAGGTAATGACAAGGGGTGTTGAACGGTTGTTTACGGGATGCAATGGGGGTTTATGGTGTTCTTGTGCGATGTTGAAGCTTTGAACACGGTGTTCTACTTTACTTTCATCAATTTGCTGTTGTCAAGTCTTGTGCCATCGCATGGTTACTGGGACCTTGATATTGTAAACCTTGAGTTTCAGTCTGATGCCGCGTTCGTGGCTTTTTCCCGTCTGAAGTCTATCAACGGCACTCAAGTTTCGGCTTCTCGGGTTTAGAGAATGCAATGCTTTCCAAACTCCTTACAAAAATCTGTTGAATCCAGAAGATCCCTACACGTCACCATGAATCGATACAGTTTCCGTTGAGGCCGTAGCATAAAATTCTTCGAATTCAAGCCAAAACTACATGATTGAGTCTATAAGTCTTATAGAATCCCGAACGAACCCTTGTATAGAACCCCTTAAACCCTAAACCCCCAAACCCTCAAACCCCCAAACCATGAATCCCCCAAACGCCTGAACCCCTGAACTCAAAGCCTCTAAACCCTAAACCCCCAAACCTCCAAACCCTTAAACCTAGACACCCTTCTAGGGCCCCACTCAGAGACTCCAATATCCCTTAAGTAGGCAGTAAGATTATAGTAGGGTCCCTATCGTGATTTACGGTATATTCCTTACTTAAGGGATATTGGAATTTCTGGGCAAAGGAGGAACCCTGTTTTAGAAACCTGAAACCCTAACCCCTAAACCCCCAACCCCTAAACCCCCACCCTTCAACCCTAAACCCTATAGATCCCTTAAAGGATCCCTTAAAGGAGCCCTTAAAGGAGCCCTCTAGTCCCTTTAAAGGAACCTCTAGGGCCCAAAAAAAGGAGGATGGCGCAGACGAAGGACCAGAAGATGGCGGCGGCTGCCGAGGCCGCGAGCAAGCGCTCCAAGGGCAAGAAGCCTTTGAAAGACATGAAGAGCCTTGGGTTTCACTTGAGGTTTAGGTTTTTGTGAAGAAGTTACAGGGTCTACTGGAAGACATCAAGAGCCTTGGGCTTTAGGGTTTAGGGTTCAGGGTTTAGGGTTTAGGGTTAGGGGTTTAGAGTTTAGAGTCTAGGTCCAGGTTTGAGGGTTGAGGGTTCAGGGTTTAGGGTTTTGTGAAGTTAAAAGGATCTTTGAAAGACATCAAGAGCCTTGGCCTCCCTGAAGGGTTTCTTAAAGGGTTTTATAAGAGGGGTTTAGGTAGTTCTCTATGTTTGGGTGATAGGGTTTCGGATTTAGGGTTTAGTGAAGTTATGAAGCCTTTGAAAGACATCAAGAGCCTTGGGTTTCACTTGAGGTTTAGGGTTTTTTGAAGTTACAGGCCCTTCTGGAAGACATCAAAAGCCTTGGGTTTAGGGTTGAGGGTTTAGGGTTTATGGTTTGGGGTTTCGGGCGTAAGGTCTTGTGAAATTATACATGTGTTTGAAAGACATCGAGATCAGGTTTCATGATTTCGTCTATGATCAGGGACATCAAGAGTTTTTTTTTTCGACATGTTTTTGTTTTGAATAAAGCTTTTTATACGGACATACTAGAGATGTTGTAGGGTTTTATTTTTTGCCATTGTTTTTCTAAAGAATTTTCAGTGTTATTCAGAATTTTATGAATTTTATGAGAGGTTTATGGGGTTTCACAAGGGAGTTTTTCAGACTTCCTGACGCTTCCCAAAGAAATCCAGAGGCTTGGTTCACAAGGGTTGTGTACACACCTATAAGGGATTACATGGTTAGGGGTGGATTTATGACAAGGCATTCGACAGGGTGTAGGGGTTCACGCATTGAGGGTTCGATAGGCTTGGATTAGATTTACTTCGGGCTTGAGGGTTTGAAGGGGCGGGGTTTCGGCCTCTGGGTACATATCAAAGACCCTTGTGTTCAGTGTGGGTAAACGAAGTTTGGGCTTAGGCTCCGGGCTTGTAAGGGCACTTTACTATCGAAGACTTGAAAAGGCTTGAGTTGAAGCTTCGCCTGACATATATATATATATATGACTTTTCCGGGCTCTGATCGCTTGTGTAAGGCTCAAGACCAGGGTCCAGTAGTTGGGGCATTGAAGGGTTTGAGTGGTCCTTAGGAAGTTCCCAGAGACTCCCTTCCATTATCCTTTAATTAAGGAATATACCTTAAAATGTAGTAGGATCCCTAATCTGAATTAAGCAGTATTCCTTAACTAAGGGATAATGTTCTTGGAGTCTCTGGGTCCCTCATCTTCTTACCAGGGTGATTCAACAGCGCCAGACAAGCACCTCCTAGGAACCTTTCGTCGGGTTTCCAAGACAATGGGAATCGTCGGTTTTCATGCTGGTGACAGCAATGGTAGTAAAAAGAGTGGTAGGGGGAGAGTGGAAGTAAAATCAGTGCACTGGCAGATGAGTCATCCATGACAGCAATGTTGCTGCCCGCATTGATACCTGCCTTCTTTGTTGAGGTGATCTGGTACGTAGTTTTGCCGCGGCTGCTGCTGCTGTTTTTGCCACCACAGCCTTTGATTCTTCTGCTTTGGCTCCCAATGCTTGTGCAGCAACTGCTGCTTGTGCTGCAAGTGTTGCTTTTGTTACTGCTTCTGCTACTGCTGCTGCTGCTGCTGCTGCTGCTGCTGCTATAGTTGCTGTCGTCACGCCTGTCATGGTTGTTGCGGTTCTTTATGTTGTGCTCGTCGTCTTCGTCGTTTTCTCAGTATACCGTTTAGGAAAAGAAACCTGGATGCCTCACCCCACAAACCTCGAGGCGATACCTTCAACTCAGAAGCCCAAAGCTCTAAGCCCTCTACCCCAAAAGCAGAATCCTTGCCGGAAGCTTGGTGTAATGCATCCCACTAAACCCTGAATCCTAAATCCTGAACCCTAGGAAGTACGTCGTGATCGGCGTGAGCGCCTTGGTGATGCTTGGTGCCATCTACCTTGCCGCCACGGACAATGCCGGTGGATTTTTGCTCGCAATCTTTATCTCCGGATTCCGACCCCACTTGCTAGCGTTTGTTACAGCATTCTATAAGGGGCTTGGGGGTGGGGTTTGTGTTTAGGGAAGCAGCAGATCTAGTTCTGCAGGTGTTTGCCGTGGCGAAACAAAGCTCGGCGCAAGGGTCAGGTTCTTGATTCCAAACCTTAAGACCCCGAAGCACTACATCCCAAACCCACCCTAAACTGAGCCTAACCCCCAGACCCGGAAAACACTGTGCAGTCACTGAGCTTTGTAACAGCTTCGTAACTCAGACTCACGTAGCTCCGCACACGTGGCTAAACCCTAAACGCTAAACACCGTAAGTCCTAAACCCTAAGCCCTAAACACCCTAAGCCTCAAATACTTAACCCTTGGTTCCTGCCCACAAGGAAAGAAGAAGAGCAGGGATACCTATCGATCCCGGGCATCGGCGCAGGTGCCTTGGGTAATACAGGGGCCTAAATACTCTGATTCTCGTGGGCTCTGCGATTCTGGAGACCGGGTGTCAGACAGAATGTCATATAGTGGCCTTAATAATTACCTATACTATTTGTGGGGTTCCTTTGTATAACCGTAGTATAGTGGGCCCCCAAACCCTATTCTACTGATTACAGCCCCAATAGTAATACTATTCCTTGGGGTTTCTTTTAATGATCCCAACAACAATACTGGTAATATGCGTTTCATTCAGTGGAGTTTTCAGGTTCAAATCGTTAGTTTACTCCAAACTCTGTGTGGTTTATTAGTAAGGCCTCTGTTACGGCTTGATCACGGCGTCGAGGGGACGTGGATTGGGAAGTATCGTTCAGTGCCTATCTACACATGTGCTTTATGTTGTTTTGTTTATGTACCTGCATAAAAATGTATTCAGCGACTCTCCAGTGTTCTATGGTTTGATGTTGTACTAAGCCCGAGATATTCCAAGCCCAAAGCCTTGAACCCCTAAACCCTACACCCTAAACCCTAAACCCTAAACCCCAAACCCTAAACCCTAAACCCTAAACCCTAAACCCCCTGAACCCAGAAGCTGAGGAGCCCAACCCCGTCAACAATGTAGGCTTCTGGTCCTAGGTTTCTTGTGTTTTGAGCCAGTGAGGATCCCGTCCTGGTCTAGAGTAAATACGGTTGATGATATAAATCCTCGGTCCTTGAGAGGGAGCTAGAAGGGTACCTTTAGGGGGTTCGATTAAAGGGGCCTACAAGGTTTAAGGGTATAGGGTTTAGGGATATAGAGTCAATAGGTTAGGATCATCAAGGTAATGTAGGATGTATATCATCAACCGTTTTGTACCGAGCTGTACAACATGCCGAGGCTCTCAACCTACCCCTAAGGCTATGGGGGATCTTTGCTGTTTCTGAGGGTTCTTTCCAGGGGTTCCGTTTAAGGGTTTTTGGGAATGCTGCCAAGCGTAGGTTTTCGGGCTTGGGGTTTAGGGTTTCGCGATTGCTGGCAGTTTCCGAAATAGGGGACCCTAAAACAGTACCCTAAATAGTAGGATCCTTGTTATAAGAACCCCAAAATAAGGTGCCCCTAATCTTCGGAAACTCCCTGCCGAGTTACCCGTCATCCCTAGAGCCTACAGCAACCCTAGGAGCGGCCCTTGCCAAGTGCCCTTACACAAGCTTCAAAGCAACGCTTAACAAATTCCATGACGGAGCCCTTCAAGCAACTTCTAAGCAAACTCCCAACCCTGAGCCTCAAATCCAAAACTCCAAGCCTAAACCTTAAATGATACTAAAACCGGAAAACCCAGCCCTGAGCCCAAGAATTGAAAGGCACAGTCTGATCCGGCGGTATCTGACATGTCCGTCTCCACGTTGAAGCTTCTAGATGCTGAGACCGGAGTGCAGATGGAAACGGGCGCCAAAACTAGCACTCCCGAACACCGGAACCCCTCTTGGAGGTTCATGGGTAGTTATACGTAGGGTTATAAGTACCTATACTTATAACCCATATTAGGGGACTTACAACCCCACTACCCATGAACCTCCAAGCAGAGGTCAACGACCGCTACTTTGTGGGCGACGTCACCTCTTACGCCGCCGGAAATTTCACGGCAGTGGGGGAGTCCCAGTTTGGCAGATGGCTTTACAGGGTGGCGATCAGGCTAATGTAGGAACCTGATTAAGAAACCCTGGCCCCAAATAGTAGGATTCATATAAGGAACCCTAATAAAGGCCCAAGGTTTCTTTGTGTTTAGCGCCTAAGGCTTTACGGTTCAGGTTTGGCGGTTTAGGTCTGGGGTTAATCCTTGGGATTTGTGGTTCAGCGGTTTCACGATTTTTACACAATGAGGTTGTTGTTTAAGTCAGGGTTTCGTCGGGATCCCGTTCATGCGGGTCGGAGACTCCTTCGTGCTCCCAGTGCTTGCCTGCTTGGTCTCATCACTTGCATTCTTGGTACTTTCTTCTGGTCACGAGCGCTTTGATCATTCTTAATGCGATAGTGTCTTTACTTGTGATTTCTTGCAGTACTTTGATTGGCGGCTATGAGTTTTGCTACGACTAGCATTGTTATTGCTCGCTGTTCTGATTACCATGAGTAGTACTGTTTTGTTTTATTTGGGACATGACGCAAAATTTTCGGTCGATGGCAATACCAGAATCAGCAAAAGCAAGTATACTCACACAGCTAGTAATGGCGAGGGAAACAGCTTCATACCAGTATCATAACAAAGATTGTACCACCAGCCGCGGCAGGGATATCGACAGTAACCCTTGCTATGTTTATCATTACCACTAGTGTGTTGTTGGTTGTCATTCTGATGTTTTCACTCTTTTTGCTATATCTGTGAGCGTTGTTATCATCATGATACTAGGTCCTAAGCCTTAACACTAAGTTTGAAGCAGGTCTAGTCGCTATCAATACCTTTGTGGTTCTGAGCCCCTAAACCGCAAGAACCAAAACCCTTCACCCTAACCCTAAACCGGTGGATTTTTTTAAGGGTATTTTTTTTGTTTTTTTGGGTGCTGTTCCTTGGTTTTTCCTAGGGAAAGCACTAGTTTCCTTACCTTTTGGACGGATCTGGCGTCATTTCCTTGGTTTTCACGAGGGAAAACACTAGTTTCCTCGCGTTTTGGGCAGATTGGGTGTGATTTTCCTTCGTTTTCGTAAGGAAAACATATTCTTGTCTTTGATTTTCCCTAAAGAAAACATTGTTTTTCTTACATTTTCGACGGATTTCATGTGATTCTCCTTGGTTTTCCGCGGGAAAACCTACACCAGTCGCGTAAAACATACGTTAATCTTAGGTTTTTCTAGGGAGAACGTATTTTTTACAATCGTGGACGGATTTCGTGTGATTGTCTTTGGTTTTTTCCCAGAAGAACCTACAATACTTCGAGCGAAACGTATGTAACCTTGCGTTTTTCCAGGGGCTAAACCGTTTGCCGTACATTCGTGAGCACACCTTGGAAGAAGTGTATGCGGAGACGCTCCAAAGCATCCGCTCTCAAAGAGGGTTGGAGATCACCGTAGAGCAAGCCTCCAAGCTGCCATGCCCGCTAGGCCACACAACTCTTCTCCCTTTGGCTGTGGCGTGCGAATTTCTTCACGCTGGCTGTGGTCTGCCTGCAATTTTTGCTTTCATCCTTTTTCAGGCCTGCTTGGCCTCGTGCCAGCACAAAGACCTTGCGGTTGCACTTTGGGCAGACAAGTCACACAAGCACAGGACCAGAGCCCGATGGTGGGCATGCCCCACAGGTGATCCAAATGCCGGCAAGTCCCCTACCTGCTCTTTCGTCATGGATGCTTTCGAGCAGTTCGCGAAGCGGCAAGATTGCCTTCACCCCCAGCCGCACCGGATCGGTGTTGGCAATAACAATCGCATCCAGAACCGGCTTCGTGCTTTGGATGGATCTCTGCTGTTGCAAGGTCCTGAGTCCAAGCCTATTTTGGACCCCGCTTTCCCCGGCAAGAAGACAGTGGACACGGGCAAATTTCTGGACCTGACCCGTTGGCTAGAAGCTGCAAACGGCGGCAAGTTCGAATGGGGCACGGGAGAAGACGAGAAAAAAGCTCAAGCACGCAGAGCGCAAGCAGCTTCTCTCGGCGCGGGCACGGCTTCAAATGCACCAATGGAAGAGAAGCCGCTCGTATTTTCCAGCACGAACATCAACCTGTGCTTGTTCCAACAATTCTCCTTGTTCGAGGAATGGTGGTGCCCTGTGGAGGCAATGCACAAGTGCGGTTTTAGCGCCCGCATTCTCATGTCGCCCACTTCGCGTGCCATCGTGAGCCGCGAGACAGGTTTGCAAGACCCAGCTCCTGTCGAAGGGCTATTCCAGAAGCTTTGGAGTCACACTGCTGTAATGTACGGGCCTCAAGTTGCCAGGCCTGCCGGACTGCTCCATCCATCCAGCCAGGCGCAAGGAGCAACGAGAGATTTTTATTACGACCTCGATGAGGAGAAGAAAAAAGGCGGCTGGGGCTCCGCCTCTAAAGCAGCTATGGGCAAGATGGAATACCACATCCCAAGTGCTGCTTGCCTGACTTCCTTGGCCGCTGCAGCTTTGGGTTTTGATTTGTCTTCTGTGAAGCTGGACGACAATGCCATGAAGTGCGCCGCCCGGCACTTCGACCTCCGTGTCATGCACTCCTGTGCAACTGTGGACAGCACCGCCAGGAAGGCTTGCGTGTCCACAAGGCCAGGCGGACCATCGCCCGCAGTGTCATCGCCCAAGCCCATGACTGTGAGGGTGCTGGAAACCTGTCTCCAAGATCCTATCCAATTGTCTCATATGAGTCAGCACTTCGCAGCCCTCAAGGGAGAAGCCGCCTTCCAAACCCGAGTGGACATCTTGAAACAGCTGGAAAGCTTGGGCCTACGCACCGTCCAAGAAACACGCCGGCGCGCCGGGGACGCCGGTGTGCGCTCGGTCGCTTTCCATCGGCTTGGGCGCTTATGATACCCGCCGGGTGAGAAGGCAGACCAAAGCAAGGTCAACTGAGGATCGAGCCACTTACTTGGAGGGTCGGGGGACTTCCTACGTGGTTATTTTACAGACTTATAAGTATCATAGCCCCAATTAGGGTTCCTGTTAGGGTACTTATAAGTCTACTTATTCTAAAAATACTAGATATACAATATATACTGTATATATATATATATACTATATATACGATATCTACTATATAAACTATATAGACTATATAAACTGTATAAACTATATAAACTATATAAACTATATAAACTATATAAACTATATAAACTATATATACTATATATACTATATAGAGTATATATACTATATATATTCTATATATTATATATATACTGTATATACTATATATACTATATATACTATATATACTATATTTACTATATATACTATGTATACTATATATACTATATATACTATATATACTATATATACTATATATACTATACATACCATTTATACTATGAAGACTCTATATACTATATATACTGTATATATATATACTATATATATTGTATATACTATTTATACTATGTATATTTTTTCTTTTTTCTACATATATATATAAACTATACATACTATATGTACTATATATACTTACTAACTATAAGATCTATATATACTATATATCCTAATATAATCTAATAAATAACTATATAATACTATCTATACTATATTACTATACTATACTCCTATATACGATATATACTAAATAAACCATCTCTCACTAATATACGATATATACATATATCTATATATACTTAGATATTTATCTATACTAGCTATATCTTATATATGATAATACTAATAATCTACTAGTATATACTCTATTACTTTATATCACTATATATACATATTCTGAATATCTATATATACTATAGATACTATATAATCTATATATTATATCTTATAGATACGAATCTATCTGTAATTACCTTCTCTTACTATATCTACTATTATACTCTATCATACTCAATGAGACATATATAATACTATGTAACTATATATAATATAATCTATATATAAATATTTATAATAATATCTATAACTATATGTCTCGTCCTATGGGATCTATATATATATCCTATATACTATATATTATATAATAACTATATATTCATAGATATATATACATATATACGGCCTACTAATCCAGTTTCACTGCTACCTATATCTATACTATGATTATACACTATATCTACTATAGATACTATATATACTATATAATACTATATAGAACCTATATATACTCATCTGATATACGTATATTATACATATCGATATAAACTAGATAGTCCTATAATATACTATATATATCATATATACTATATCATACTATATATAATATATTTATAATCTATAAAATATTATATATATCACTATACTATTATATACTATATATACTATATGATACTGTTAGACTAGTAATATTAATAGTATTATATTAAATACATATATATATATACTATATACTATATTTATATATATACTATATTTACACATACTATATATACTATACATACTATATATACTATATATACTATACATACTATATATATTATATATACTATATATACTATATATATATAGATATATACTGTATATGCTGTATATACTATATATAGACTTTATAGACTATATACACTGTATATACTATACATACTATATACACTATTTGTACTATATATACTATTCATATACTATATATACACTATATACACTACATACACTATATATTTCGTATATACTCTATATTGTCTATATGCTATATATACTGCATATACTATATATATATATACTGTACAAACTGTATACAAAATAAACTGTATATACCATCTATACTGTATATACTATATATATATACACACTATATATAGCCACGCAACATTATGTTACAGCCCGGAACTACCACGAATGTGAAACTTATGCACGTAAACGATTTTATGAAATATTATTTGGTGAGAACATCAGAACATATATGCACACACATATGTATACAGATTATCGCCATATATATATATATGTATATATATAACACGTATAGTAACACTGCATTGATACAACTTGCTTATGCACAGTCTGCTTGGAAGGCAATCAATATGCACGAACGCTTGCCTGCCGTTCTCCTGTTGATTATTTTCCTTCTTCAGTTTGTTTGTTCTTTTATTCTTCATGCATATGTTTGTTCTTGAGTATTTCTTGGTTTCTGTGCTTCGTCTTTCCTTTCTTCCTGTCCATCTTTCTTCCTCTGTTTGCTCCTTCTATCACCCGTTTCTGGCTTTCTTCCTGCGTTGCTTCCCTTCTGTCTGTCTTGCTTCTTTCCTTTCTTTTTTTCTGCCTTTCTTCCTTGCTTTGGTCCTTGTTCTGCCGTGTTTCTTTCCTTCTTCCTGGGTTCTTGTCGTTGCCGGTGGAAGAAAAACAAGAAAAGCACGCCAAATCCGTCCAGAACGCAAGGATAATAGTGTTTTCTCTAGGAAAACCAAGGGAAAGAAAAAAAAAGAAACAAAAGACCCAACAAAAAAAATACCCTAAAAAATAGGCCCTAAACCTCTTTATCATATGAATATTTAAACTTTGATGTTATTCGTCGTTTAGGGCAATTTTCGGGGTTTAGCTGGCCAGACTTCGCGCCCGCGCGGGGGGGCCAGACCCCAGACCCCCACACAATTCGTCGTTTAAGGCAATTTTCGTGGTCTGGCTGGCCCAGACCCCCACACTATTCGTCGTTTGAGGCAATTGTCGGGGTCTAGCTAGCCCAGACCCCCACACCATTCGTCGTTTAAGGCAATTTTCGGGGTCTAGCAAGTGCATGTGTGAACAACTAAACATCGGTGAACAGATCCATTCCCAAGTAAGTGCCACCAACAATCGGTTAACAAATTCATTCCTAAGTATAGGTGTGAAGTGTGGGTGTTATTTTTAAACTGTAAACACAACTCTACTTTAAGACTGCTCCATCCGGAGCTGCTGAACCCTAGACCCTAAACCCCAACCCCTAGGCTGCGAGTCCCTTCTTCAACGGCTGGTCCTACGCAGACGTCCTGAGCTCAGTCACAGAAGTCAGAGGGGTCGCGAGGTTTTGATGAATTCGGGGTTTAGGGTTTAGGGTTGGGGTTGGGGGGTGTGGGCTTGAGCTTTTTTCGGGGTGTTGAGCGCTTTTGAGGGCTTCTCGAGGCTCAGGGACCCAGGGTCGGGTGTTCTGGCTTCAGATTCTTTCAGAGATAATATTTTGTTGGGAACTATTTCTTTGCCAAGTCTCCGCCGTATTTTTTTTTGCGCAGACATATGCACGTGCCATGAAGGCTGGGTTTCCGAAAAAGATGGGATTCAGCTTCCCACAGACGTGGTGCGAATGTATCCGACATTGGTTGCCAATGAAATCGATTCCTCCAGCTGCTAGCTGCTTCTTGCCATTATGATTACTCTGTATGTCATCAGCACATTTGTTAGATTCGTTTCAGGTTGTTCTCAAAACAAGCCATGGTTTCAGAAAATGTGGGACCTCTTTCTTAAGCCTCAATTATAGGATCTTTTCCAAGCATCCAAATAAGGCACGTTTTTTTCCTGAAAAGGAGCGCATGTTTGGGGCTTTGAGCATTTGAGGAACGGGGCGGGGGTCAAGGCGGATGCCAGATCAACAGCCTCAAAGTCGGAGGTTCTTCAGCGAATGTGCATGTCGTTCTCATACTACCACACCTTTAACGTTGCTTTACACACATGTATGCGTGTGTATGTTTGTATAGACATATGTGTATGCATGTTTGTCAACATATACCGCTCGCATTGTTTATCATTCTCTCTTTGTTTCCTTCTGTCTTTGCTTCTTTGATTCATTCTTTCTGTTCCCTTTCTGTACTTCTTTCTTCATGTCTTATGGATGCATCTGTATAGACCTTGACGTAAACAAGCGCTTATAGTGTATGTATGCACATCTACGTAAAACATAAACACATGCATGTAGATGTCCGTGTACACGAACTCAGAAATGTCTTTATCGAATGGCAGGAGATTTCTTGGGCTCTATGCCTGTGAAGCAGGTCTCCTACGGCCTCGACGGTGTGGGCATCCGTGCTGAGGGCATGATCGGCTTCTCCGGGGCCCTGCAGCGCTGTTCGGAGCGCGGGGGAGAACGAAGCCCTAAGGGCCCGAGCCCAGAACCCAGAGGATCCCCCAATATCCTTTAATTAAGAATATACTATATACCTTGCATCACCTTAGCGGATCCTACTATACTTTAAGGTACCTTTCTTAATTAAGGGGTGCGTTTGGGGTTCGGGATGTAGTGTCGGAGGCTTCTTAGCCCAAAGCCTTGAGCTCGTCGTCGTCGCAGTAGTAGTAGCAGTAGCAGTAGCAGTAGTAGGAGTAAGAGTAGGAGTAGGAGTAGGAGTAGGAGTAGGAGTAGGAGTAGGAGTCGTCGTCATCGTCGTAGTAGTAGGTTGAAGAATGTAGGGATGAGGGCTTTCTCTTACATGATCATTGTTTTGAGTGAGCCCTGGAAACTCGGAAAGGACCTAGTAAGTAGGTATAAGGTAGAGATAAGCAAGTGGTACTTATAACTACATAAGCCAACTAGGTCCCCCGACCATCCAAGTGAGCCCTGGAGAAGGGCCTGCAGCAATGTTGAACCATGTTGGAGTACACAAGCATTGGTAACGAAGCACGCAGAACTGCCAGGGGGTCGGAACACTTTTTCAAGAGCATCCCTTGTCAGGCGTTTCTCGAGTATGCTATAACACGCCATCTAACACCCTATTCTGCTTGATGGTGGCCATCGTTGCTCGAATTCTCTTGACAACTGATCCGAACAACTCAAGAAAGCTTGCTCCAGGATCTGAAATACTTTGAGTACCACGACCCTTATTCGGAACCCATCCGCAACAAGCCTCAAACCCTCAACCCTAAATCCTAAAGCCTCAAACCCTTCAGCCGCCAATCCTGCAACCCTTTAAAAGCCGACCGGCTTAACAACCGAAGACCTTTCAACGCACTTCCAAACCTCAACCCTAAACCCTAAACCCTAAACCCTAAACCCTAAACCCTAAACCCTAAACCCTAAACCCTAAACCCCAACCCTAAACCCTACAACCTAAACCCTGAACCCTGGACCCCCTCAAACCCCCCAAAACCTACAACCAAATCCCTGAACCCAGAACCCCTCAAACCCTAAAGCTTACTCACCATAAACCCCCAAAGCCTACATCTTGAAACCCCTAAAACCCTGAAGCCTACTCACCACAAACCCGCAGAGCCTGCAATCCTGAACGGAAGGACGAAGGGGAGGGCCTAGAGGGGGGCGCCGTGCCCCCCAGCTACGACCTGCGCGAGCAGAAGCCAGGAATCGCCACAGGGTTCCTTCAAGGGATCTCTTGGGTTGTCTTTTCAAGGAATCCTAAAACGGATCTATACGGGTGTAGAGTTTAGGGATTATAGGGGATTTAGGGTTTAGGGGGTTCCTTTACGCGAGGGGTTCCTTGAAGCGGGTCTGTCGGGTTTTCTGTTAAGGGCTCCGCCGTGCTTTAATTTACGGTTTTGAAGGGGTTGTCAGATTGAAGGATTGCATTTGGGTGTTGTAAAGGGTTCTAGATGGGCTTGTGTAGGTTTTCGGGGGTTTAGGCTTACGATAGGGTACTTGGTAGTTTGGGTAGGAGTGGTCGAGCACCGAGAAGTTTTGCTTTACTTAGGATGGGTTTACGGGGCGTTATAATTCAAGTGCTGGGCATTGTATTTAACATTACGCATCCTTTAAACCCCGAAAATAGCTATCCCCCTGTCTACCGATCTATCTATCTGTCTGCCTTTCTGTCTCTCTAGCTACCTACCCACCTATCTATCCATCTACTTTTCTAGTTTTCTATCCATCTATCTATCACTCTGTTTTTCCATCTATCTGTCTACCTGCCTATTTGTCTATCTACCTATCTGTCTATTTGTCTGTCTAGCTATCTGCTTGTTTAGCCTAAACCCTAAACCCTAAACCACCTTGATTGCTAGGCGGAAAAAGGTGCTTAAAAAAAAAACCTATAACCCTAAAACCCTAAACCCTAAACCCTAAACCCTAAACCCTAACCCTAAAGCCCAAGAACCCATCTAAGCCTCAAGCAGCAGTCCCCCACACTTTTTGAACCCAAGAGTCGGCCCAGTTTTAGGGTTTGGGGTTTAAGGTCCCCAGAGACTCCAATATATCCCTTAAGTAAGGAAGATACCTTAAAATTATAGTAGGATCCCTAGTATGATTTAAGATATATATATATATATATATATATATTCCGTAATTACGGGATATTGGAGTCTTTGGGTCTTTTGACCAAAAGTGCGAGATGGAAGCCGACAGGCTCTGAGCCAACAGCCCCAAATCCTTTACGGAAGCCGTTGTCAGACCCGAAGAAGAATCTCAGCCCGAAAGCCTAACCTTAAGTTCTCATTAATGCGAAAATATTTTAAAAGGACAACATAGTCATAGATAAAATGACAAACTCGTCATAAATACTAAGAATACTGAGCTCCTATAGACTCTCTGTAAAAACCCTGGGAAGATTACAAAAAGATCTTTATCAACTTTGTACAAACCCTGAACGCAACCTATGCCCTGATAGCCCTGGTTTAGGGTTTAGGGACCCTAGACCCTAAACGCTCAACCCTAAACCCTAAACCCTAAAACCTAAACCCTAAAACCTAAACCCTAAAACCTAAAACCTGAACCCTAAACCCTGAAACCTAAAACCCCCCTGAAACCTCAGGGCTCAGGGGTTGCAGGCTGTGAAGCCGGCCCGATCTACGACCAGGGGAACTGCTCCTCCAGCACCTGGTTCGCCTTGGAGTCCTCCGGGGACTTTTGTAGTGTTAGGGTCGCCTTAGACAAAGTTTTCCGGGGGATTTTTGTAGGGTTAGGGTTTAGGGGGTTGAAGAGGGTTTGATGTGGGGTGTTGTGGGGGGTCAAAGGACTGTAGAGAGGCTCAGAACTGTTCCAGTGCGCCGATTTTGCAGCAGGGTCTAGAGCTTTGGTGTTTAAGGTTTTAGAATTTTGCGCAGGGTTGGGCACTTGTAGGGTTTAGGGTTTGCGGTTCTTGCAAGTGTGAAGTCTAGAGTCTGGGCCACATGCTCGAAATCGTCAAGCCTTGCCTAAGGCCGTGAAATCCACTATGGTGGGTTTTGGGTCGTTTTTTCTTCAAGGTTCTCGCCTTTGCCCGGGTTCGCTTGGCTTGAGGGTCGCGGGGACACTAACAAAGTTGGCGGGAGTTGTGATTTCATTTTTCTCTACACGACGTGATGATCCCTAAAATCCAAACCCTAAACCCTGAATGCGGTAAAAATTACGTTACCTTAATTTGGGGTCCTTATAATAAGGATCCTACTATTTAGTGTACTATAGTAGAGTCCCCCAATTTCGGAAACTCCCACATGATGGCCATCGGAACAAGCTTCAGGAGGACGATCATATCGATGACAAGAACGATAGTGGCAACTGTCTTTAGCCGTCATCATCGTAGTGGGAGCAGGCATTACAAGCGTAGAGACCCATGTGTTTCAAGCTTGGAAACGGTTTAGATATCCTGCTTTGTGTTTAGCGGTTTCAGGGTTTAGGGTTCAGATTTTTGGGTTCAAGGGTTCAAGGTTTATGTTGTAAAAGTACCCAGGCTCCTGAATACCGATGCTCCAGGGGCCTACCATAGGGGCCTAAATAATTACCAATACTATTTTGGGGGCTCCTTATTATAAGTATAGTATACAATGCACCGAAACCCTCCTTCAGCTAGGGTTTTTTGGTTAAGGGCTTAGCGTGGTTCTTGAACAGTTCTGGTAGTGCCTGCCGCGCATTGTCGGACGATTTTCCAAGCAGTCGCTTATAGGTTTGGAGACTCAGCAAAGCGGATCCTTTGTAGACCCTGACAGTAGTAGGATCCTTCTATGAATGACCCCTACATGAGGCACCCCTCACTATACGAAACTCTCATTTGCAAACCCTTGGGCATCCTATGCTAATCTAAGGGTAAGTGGAGGGACCCTTAACAAGGACCCCTGGGTATATACCCTTACGTAATATGGGTAGGGGTCCCCATTAAGGGTCGCTCCTTTTCCCCTTTGAGCTAAGGCTATGCGATTGCAGCCGCCACGGCACTCGCGTCGCGATTCTGTTGCTCACCTGCAGAACGGCTGAGCCGAAAATCCGACACCCTTGGCAAGCACTGAAACCTTAGACCCTAAACCCGTAAACCCCTAAACCCTAAACCCTTAAACCCTAAACCCCCAAACCCCTAAACCCTAAACCCCCAAACCCCTAAACCCTAAACCCCTAAACCCTAAACCCCCAAACCCCTGAACCCTAACCGCTAAGCCCCTCAGTCGCAAAAGCCCCTGAAGCCTTCCCGTCTTTTCAGCCTCAAAGCCCTGAGCTGAAACTCGCAAAATCCAGACGACCAGACCCATCGACCGGTTTAGGGTTTAGGGCTTTAGGGGTTTAGGGGTTTAGGGTTTAGGGGTTTAGGGCTTTAGGGTTTAGGGGTTTAGGGTTTAGGGTTTAGGGTTTAGGGATCCTAAACCAAGAAGCCCCTCGATCGAGGATGCTATACTGCAAGCCTGGCACGCAAAGGCGATTTATAGCTCATCGCTGAGCATCGGTCCATAAGCCTTTGCATATCCCGTGCTTCATAGGTCGTGCAGGGTTTATAGGGTTCTGCGGGTGCTGGGATTGGTTTGAAAGGCCGTTAGGGTTGAGAGTTCAGGATTTTAATCATACCAGTCATCCTTCTACAGTTCACGGAACACTCTGTTCCCCTAAACCCTAAACCCTAAACCCCTAAACCCTAAAGCCCTAAACTCTAAACCACACATGTAACTTAGCGGAAGCGCCGGCTGAAGGCCCATGTCCGAGCCGACGTGAATGAAAGTTCGATTGAAATCCAAAGGAACCTCTCTGTGCTGTAAGGACCTGTTTGAAATCTTACAAGGGCCCTTACGGTACTTAAAGAGGCCCTTAAAGTACCCTTACGCCTGAGTAACCGAACCCCTGTTTCAAAATGTGGCCACCCTGAAATTTCTTTCAGTGCCTTGGTATTAGCACCGCCAAAGCGAATTGAGGGGTTGGGTTCAAAAGCTCAAACCATGCAGACACTTCATCGAAAAAATCCTAAGCCCTAATCCCCAACCCTAAGCCCTAAACTTTAAGCCCTAAATCTTCCGAACCCTTGCAAACCCGGGCTTGAGGTTCAGAAGATGCCTGCATGTTGACACAATATACTATATTATCATATACTAGAGTATAAAATGCTGTCGTAACACTGTAGTGTGGTATGCTGTAGTGAATAGACTATAATGCAACATGCTGTAATGTAATGTACGATAGTATCGCACAAGGTTTGATAAATACTAGGTCATATATAACATGTAAAGTTGAGATCACAATCCTGGGGACCCCACTAAAACTCTAAGAGTTGCTGAGAAGGGCTTCAGGCCAAAGTCGTTAGATTGTGCTGGTCCGTATTAGTCTCGGGGAGGCTGGCCATCATACCGTACAGAATGTCTGTACGCATAGCACGCCCAAGCTCGACCCCAAACTCTGCATCCTAGACCGGTTCATGGCTCGGGGTGCTGCAAAAGCGCCTACATACTAAATGTTAGAGCGCTAAGCCCTGACCCTAAAGCCAAAGCCCGAACTCTTATACCCCCCTTAACCCAGAGACTCCAAAACCCCTTAATTAAGGAATATACCTTAAATCATATTCGGGGTCTTATTATAATTTAAGGTATATTCTTTAATTAAGAGGTTTTGGAGTCTCTGGGAAATCTTCGAGCGCTAAACCCCAGACCCTGAAGCCAAAGACCGAGCTCTCATAACCTCCCACAAGCGGAGCTGAGGCTTCAGCGATCCGGATACATATGCGAAGTTTCTGGGCTCAGTGGTGTTGGCGAGACGCGAAGGGATTTCCGGGGTGTTACTTGGGCTTCAGGGGTTTAGGGGTGCTTTTCTTGTGTACTTGGAGGTTCTCATGGGCATAATCAGGGCAACTATACTTATGACCCATACTAGGGGACTTATAATCCTACTTACAACTGCCCATGAACCTTCAAGTAGGCCCTAAACCCTATACCCATATATATATATATGTATATATATATATATATATATATATATATATATTCCCTATAGATCCCTTGAAAGGGACCCCATTTACAACTTACAACTGCCCATGAAGCTTCAAGCAGGGTTAGCGAGTGTGATAACCGGGAGAGCCAAGCACCACGAATGCTGCGCGCTGCGATTTCGGTAGGAGTGACGAAGGTAACCCTAGCGTTCAGGGTTTAGGGTTTAGGGTTTAGCGTTCAGGGTTCAGGTTTTAGCCTTTAGTCAGGGCTTAGGGTTAGGAGTCGTGGTGGTGATGGTGTGATACAAAAGGAGGCAAGCAAGATAGATTCGTAGGAATGGGCGAATCGGCAGCTACAATCGTAAGAACCGGAGTATACAATTTAATGCTACCAAGGACATGCGGTGAGATTCACGTGAAGGAACATGCTCATGGAGAACTAAGGTAGGTGCAAGGCTTTTAGCATGCGCAGTCTCAGTGGTAATAAAAATACCAGCAGGTGTACCGATCATGCCAATCAAGCATGTCGTCTAAGCCATGCATTGAAAGCGACTAGATGCAACAACAACTTCTCAGCAGTATCAGTGGTCATATGAAGCATTGCAATCCTACCCTAATCCCGAAACACTATATAAGTCCTTAGACAACGGTAAACTCTAAACCGTAAAGCTTCAACCCGAAACCCGAAACTCTAAGCCCGAAACCCTATGTAAGTCCTTAAACCGCAAGCCCAAAACCAGAAACCCGAAGTAAGGCCCTAAAACCCCTCGAAGCCCTCGAAGCCCGACTTCGTGACTTGATCGCTAAACCCTAGAGATTGAAATTCTACCCATAGGGTGTAGGGTTTAGGGTTTAAGGTTGAGGGCCGCTTGCTTCAACAAGTAACTAGTCATGGCATTTCTTCCTCAAGTAGCACGCTGCCTGTGTAGCACTTACCTTCAATCGAGGAAGCTCAACCCTAAGGCCTAGAACCTAAATCCTAAGCAGCGGCTGGCCGGTTAGTGGTCCAACCACCTGGCCACGAACCAAAGCAGCACAATCGGAATCGAGCCTAGGACGCAGCTCTCGCCGCAGCAGATCGTGTCCTGCGACAAGAAAAGCCTGGTCCTCAGAGGGACCTTCTTCATCCCTTCTTTACCTCTACTTCTACTATTATTACTACCACTACTACTACCACTACTACTACTGCGACGACGACGGCTTCTACTACAACAACTACAACTACAACAACAACAACTACTACTACTACTAGCCGCTAGTACTAGTCCTAGTACTAGTACTAGTACTAGTACTACTACTACTACTAGCACTACTACTACCACTGCTATTACTTCTATTACTACTACTACTACTACTACTACTACTACTACTACTACTACTACTTCTGCTGGAACCGAGTACTACCACTGCTGCTGCTGCTTCTACTACTACTACTACTACTCCTACTACTACTACTACTACTACTACTACAACTACTACTGTTACTTTTTTTCCTCCACAACTACGAACCCGAAACCCCCCAACCCGCGTACGACCCTGACAGAATGCTCTCAATACAACAAGCAAGACACATCCTAAACCCTAAACCCTACCTGGGCCGTATGAAGCCTACTTTTGAATAGACTATAAGGAAAGCATAATAAGGAACCCTAAAACAGGCATGTTCCTTAGGGTCCAGGTAAAGCCCAAAAAAGGCACATAACTTCAGACATCAACCACTAGAAAAGTCGCAGCAACAAGCAAGCCAGCACAGAGCCGCTAAACCCAAACCCTAGCAGTTTTCCTTACAATCCCTTCAAGGAATCCCCTAAAACCCTAAGCCCTGAACCTTAAACCCCCAAACTCCACTTATAACTTCCCATGAACCTCCAAGTAAACCACTGATAGATCCTTTAAAAGGATCCCTTATGGATCCCTTCTCGGAACCATACTTGGAGGGGCAGTAGAGTTATAAGTAGAGTTATAAGTACCCTAAAATGGAGTTACCCCAAGTGTAACACCACTCAAGACCCTACTTACTAAGTCCCCTGCCCCTCCAAGTAAACCATCCCTGATAGATCCCTTAAAAGGATCCCTTATAGATCCCTTCAAGGAACCCTAATCGGTCAGGTCAGGGATGCAACGGCGGAGGCCTTGATGCTGTCTGGAGCTACATCGAGCGCCGGGGCCTTTTCCCGGAGCCGCCGGGCCGCACGGTTTAGAGCTCCGTTTAAGCGTTCCTTTGAGGGATATAGAGAGAGCCCGTTAAGGGTTACTGTAAGGTATCTATAAGATCCGGTTAAAGGATGTATGAGGGATCCTTCAAGGATCTAGAATGGTTCAGGGTTTTGGGGTTTGGCATTTCAGCATGTTTTTGGTCTGGTTTACGAAATCGCACTATGATTCGCCTTTCAAAAGTGTTCTAATCATTCAGGCCCCGATAAGCGGAGCCCTCCGATGCAAGCTCATGTACCATACACGTGAGGAAGCAGAAGACAGCGTAGCGTGAGTGTGCCTCAAAAAAGCCTCGCAGCCCCTGCGCCCTTCAGCTCGCATTTCTGAAGCTGGTGCCCTCATGCCGAGAAGCTCTAAACCCTAAACCCTAAGCCGAGAAGTTTGGTTCCTCATCATCACCCCGAACGCAACCCAAAATCGTCCGAACACTGTCAGACCCGAACCCCTGAGCACCTCAGCCTCAAACCTAGAACCATAATTGGGAGTTTCCGAAAGTTAGGGGTACCTTGTTTGGGGTCCTTAAACTAGAGCTCCTACTATTTCGGGTACTAGATAGGGTCCCCTATTTTCGGAAACTCCCAAGTATTGTATATTATCAAATCGTTTACTGATTTTGGACGTGCCTTGGCAGATTGCTGGGACCCGGAACCCTTCGGGCCGTTTCGAGGGGGCGACAGAATAATAATGATGATAATGATGATAATGATGATAATGATGATAATGATGATAATGATGATAATGATAATAATGATAATAATGATAATAATGATAATAATGATAATAATGATAATAATGATAATAATGATAATAATGATAATACTGATAATACTGATAATAATGATAATAATGATAATAATGATAATAATGATAATAATGATAATAATGATAATAATGATAATAGTGATAATAATGATAATACTGATAATAATGGTAATAGTGATAATAATGATAATAATGATAATAATGATAATAATGATAATAATGATAATAATAGTAATACTACTAATAAGAATAAAAAATAACAGTAATGTGATTAAAAGCCAGAACACACTGTTTGCAAGGCACTCAGGAGTAGATGTTTGAGCCTTGAGCGACCCTTGCAAGGTGCGAAGGGTGAGTTGCTAAACGTCTTTGCCTCTCGTCGAGCGGCCGGTACAGGCTGCAAGGACCCACAGCCCGTCACTAACACATCTCAGCTGCGGTTTGCCGCGATTCATCTAGAACTACGAATGGAAGCAGAGGCAAGAAGACCTCTGTGAGGGGCATTTGCGAGGTGAGCCCTAAACCGTAATCGAGAATAGTTGGGGTGGTTGGGGCAGGATTGCATGCTGACGCAGGCCGGCGACAAGTGGGCGCGGCCCAATTCCTAAAGAAGCGCACCCTCCGTGCGCATGCTGACCCTAACCCAAACCTTGGCTCTTGAAACTCTGAAACCTCCGAAGCTGCCAACCCCACGTCTCAGGACCTGCGTCCCTTTCGCAGGGGCGAAGACGGCGGCGTGCAAGAGCGACTGCAATCCGGTGCCTCGGATTCATATAGATGTTGGGTTGGGTTGTTCCCGGTTCGGCGGTGTTAGTGTTTCAGGTGGCTTTTTCGGCGCCGGGCTATCAACGGCCCCGGAGTTGTATGCATCCAGGGTTGAGGGCCCTAATAGTTTGAATTGGGCTTCTGAGGTACATTGTATAACTGACCATAGTGAAGAACCCCACAACGAGCATTGCTACTTTTTCTGGTGTCGACATTACACATAGACTGAAGTGAACCTCTGGGGCGGAGCTTTTGATTGGGCTCAGGGTTTCAGCTTAGGGTTTAGGGCTTGGGTCTAGGGTTTAGGGTGCTGTTTTCGTGTTATTCGTTCCATCTGTGGAGCCGGAGCTATTCGAGCAGCTTTTGGTCATGTTTTTGAGGTAATCCTGTACTACTCATCGTTGTTCCTATGCAAGAGAGGAGGTTTTAAACCCCAAACCCAAGCCCTGAAGCCTTATCTCCAACCCCGAACCCAAGACATTAATTAAACCTTCCAATCCTTGTGCCCACATAAAGCCCGTAGAAAAGCTCCATCAGCGCAGTTAATAAGATTTCAAACCCTGAACTTCAAACCCTCATAGCCCGGACAGCCGAATCTAGCATAGAAAGGGGGCCCTTTACGACGAACGAAGCATCTTTTCAGACTCCCTGCAGTACCTTTGGCAGAATCCTTAAACCCATAAAAACTTCCTGACTGAACCTTGTCGCAATTCTTCTACAGCTCTTTTGTAGAAACCCTTGTAGAACTCTTGTAGGACCCTAAGCCCTAAACCCAGAGACTCCAATATCCCTTAATTAGGGAAGTTTCCTTAAATTATAATCGGGGTCCCTAATATGATTTAAGGAATATTCCTTAATTAAGGGGTATTGGAGTCTTTGGGAACCCTGATCGGGCTGCAAGGAGGCTCTGAATCGAAAGCAGGAGCCTCTGCCCCAAATCCCTTGGACCCTCAATCCTAAAGTGAACCCCAGAAAGTTGGAACATGGATTTAGGATGATTCGTGCCGGGATCTCCTATACTTTACCTTAAGGGAATCAGGAGAATGATGTTCCAACTTTCTGGCTTCTACTGTAAACCTGAGGCACTCAACCACCAAGGGCTAAACCCTAAACCCTAAACCCTAAACCCTAAACCCTAAACCCTAAACCCTAAACCCTAAGGTTCCGGGGGCCCCGTCCTCAAAAAATCTCAGCCCGAAGGCCCCCCCCCAAACCCTTTAAGGAGCTCTTGACGGAATTTGGGAGTTTCCGAAAATGAGGGGCACCTTACCTTATTTTGGGGTCCTTGTGATAAGGATCCTACTATTTAGGGTGCTATCTTGGGGTCCGCTTTTTTCGGAAACTCCCAAACCCTTTCCGTCTCAGGAGCAGAAGCTCAAAGCACTGGACCACTGCCTCATGGGCGGCGATAAGCGGATCAAGTGCCTGAGCTCTTGTTTAGTGTCCCAAAGGGGGTTGTTGGAAACCCCCGCCCGGATACTCTAAATCCCAACCCTAAACCCCTAAACTCCCTAAACCCTAAACCCCCTAAACCCTAAACTCCCCAACCCTAAACCCCCTGAACCCCCTAAACCCTAAGCATCCAGCAGAAAAATCGGCTCCCCTCCTGCAGGCGTGAGATTTACAATCGAGGCGCGAGAGCCAGGGCTTGTGGGTGTCAGGGGCGAATATAGGGGCCTTAATCTTTGTCATAGTTGGGTTCTGTTAAAGGAATCTATAGGGTTCCTTAAAAGGGATCTATAGGGTTGGGTAACATTTTGCATTTTTATGGGTATTTAAACCCAATAAGGAATAAAAATGTAAATTTTTAATCCTATCCCAACCATGAACTTGTATAGGGGCCTTAACAATTAGCATAAGGGTATAGAGTTCCTTGAAAGGGGCGCTATAAGGCTTACTACAATAAGGGTACCATAATGTAGGGGCCGTCGCAATTACCTATACTATTTATGGGGGTTCCCTATTCTGTTTATGGTATAATATATATATATATATATATATATATGTATATATATATACATATATATATATATATATCTATATACATATATATATATACACCTTCAGACCGTATTCTACTTATTAAGGTCCCTACATTCGGCTTTCGGGCTTTGGGTTCAGGGATGTTCTGAGGCCTCAAGGCTGTTGGCCCGTCGAGAAGCCTTCGTTGTTCTTTTGGGGCCCTCTAGAGGATCATGGGACTTAGTAAGGGTTCTTAAAGGGCTCCTTAAAGGGATCTATAGGGTTCCTTAAAGGGATCTAGGGGGTTTGGGGTTTAGGGTCTACTTAGAGGTGACATGTCTCTAACCCGAAACCCTAAACCCCAAACCCTAAACCATCTCCCTCCAGACGAAACCCGCCCTCTTCTTGACGGATTATCTCCCTGGTGCCTTGTAGAGAATGAGGGACTGGGTAGAAAGGGCCTGCTCTCAAAAACTTTCTTACGGATCCATACTTGAAGGCTCATGGGACTTAGTAAGTAAGGTTATAAGTAGGTTATTATTAGGATAACCCCACTTAGGGGACTTATAACCCCAATTATAACCTACTTACTAAGTCCCATGATCCTCTAAGTACCCCCATTCCCGGCCAAGAGCCAGGAGTTGTTTTCGCAGACGGGAGAGCCCGGGTTCGATTCAAGGCGTTTTCAAATTGCTACTTAGAGGATCATGGGATTTAGTAAGTAGGTTATAATTGGGGTTATAAGTCCCGTAAGTGGGGTTATCCATATTATAACCTACTTATAACCCTACTTACTAAGTCCCATGAGCCTTCAAGTAGGGAGGGCTCAACTGCCGGGCTCCCGCCCTCCCATAGCTACTTGTGGAGGTTCATGGGTAGTTATACATGGGGCTTATAAGTCCCCGAATATGGGTTATAAGTATAGTTATCCTACTTATAACCCTAATTGCATATAACTACCCATGAGATTTGCAAGCAGCCTAAGTCCCTAAACCCTAAACCCTAAACCCTAAACCCTAAACCCTAAACCCTAAACCCTAAACCCTAAACCCTAAACCCTAAACCGTCCTCAGCCCGAAACCCGAGGTCCTAAACCCCAAACCCCACTTCCCAGCCACGGCCGCGTCGTGCAGCTCATGTTCTTGAATGAACCTGAAGGTCCGCGACGTTAAGTCCTGGTTTTGTAGTCTTTTGCTGTATGTGCGGTTACGGTCTTGAGGGTATGGGGTGTAGGTCTAGATAGTTGAAGATAGTTTGTGGCTTAGGATGTGTTTGTTGGCCTTAGAAGTATGATAGGTGCGCACACATTGACAATATTTGGCAATGTGCCATTAACAGCACCTCAACCCAAGCCCTCAAACGCCTCAGTAACATTTCTCTAAACTGCAACTGCACCCCCAAAACCTCAATCCCAACAGCATGTTCGAACCATCAACCCCTAAACGCTCAACTCTAAACCACCATCATCCACAGAAAGTAATGACCGTTGGGCCAAAGCTCGGTTACAGGTCCCGTGGTCTTGCCTGTCTACCTGAAGGACGATTTCCTCGTGTACAAGAAGCCTGGCACAATGGTGCTCCCTGTAACTGTGGTCTAGGGTCTGGGGTTCTGGGATACACTATGTGGCATTCGTGCTTGTAATGAAGTTGTGTCTCAAGTGAGGAAGGGGTTCCACGGCCTTTTCGGACGATGTTCTTTGTTGCTGTGGGTGCTGCGAAAGCCAGACTGGCAAAGACGAAGACGACGACGAAGCGGACACCGCATATCCTAGCCTTGCTCACGGAGGAACTGCCTCACCCGTAACACTGTATTTGTTTGGCGGAGGATCAGTGGAGGAGTGTACGGGGAGAGCGGTCTTGGATGCAAGTGAGCAACTTAAACTTAAAGTGTGACAAAGTTTAGGATCGGTGCAGTACTAAGCCCGAAAGTCCCAGGTTTGATTCCTTTCCCTCCGTTTCCAGCAAAGCACCTGAGGAGCGGCGTCTACACGCCCACCGACAATGCCAACCAGCAGTATGGGGCGATGCTCTGCTTTTCATGCAGGGGTTTAAGGTTTAGGGTTCAGGGCCAGGGTTTGGGGTAGATTTCGGATAGGATTTGAGGTGTTTAGGGTGCAGTCGTGCGAATCCGTAGCTAGGGTTCCAATAAAGTGAAGGTAGGTATCACCAGCTTCAGAGGCCGTGAGTGTGGGGTTCGAGGTTTTTGGGGCTTGGGTTAAGCGTGTACTTGCCATCCTTTGGTTGCTGTCCGTAGGTTTGGCTGCTTCATGACAGGAGCTCTCCAGATAAGGGTGGAAGGAGTACACCACTCCTCTTTAGTTCTGATGCTACAGAGGTAGGTAGTATTATTAGGGAGACCCCTTTAAGGGTAGCCCTTCTGAACCCTACTTCTGGCTCTCTTAAAAGGGGTCTTATTGAGAGGGTCTATATCCCCAAGGGTCCCTAATCCTAACTCCCACAAGGGCGACTGTAGATAGCCGTTCATGTAGTGATCAACTGCCTCGACCATTCTTTCAAAAGCTGGGTTTAGGGTTTAGGGTTTAGGGGTTTAGGGGTTTAGGGGTTTAGGGGTTTAGGGTTCAGGGTTTAGGGTTTAGGGGTTTAGGGTTTAGGGTTTAGGGTCGCTGTTGCTGCTTGTGCTGATGCCTCGGTGTTTGTCCAGTACCGGCGGCCATACACCTGCAACCCTAAACCTTAGACACTCTACCCTTGGCCAACTTCTCGAATCGAACATCACTAAACCTTAGAAGGGGCCCCCACCCTGTAATAGTGGTATAATTAATAGGAATATAATCGGGCCCTAATATAATCCTTATAGTCACTATTACAGGGTGGGGGCAGCTTCTAAACTAAACCCAACTAAACCCCAAAACACATTCGATGCGTCCGGGGGCTGATCCTGGCCCTTCTTACGGAACTAAAGCTTGAAACAGGTACTACATTGTTTTAGATAAACTTAACAAAACCCCACGCGAACCTTTCGTAAGCTCTGTGATAAACCCCTTAACCCCAGCCCCCAAGCCCACACTCCAAAACCCAAAACCCAAAACCCCAGAACCCTCAACCCAAAGCCCAAAAACCCCTAAACCCAAAACCCCCAAACCCAAGAAGCCTCACCCTAAACCCGAAACCCAAAAACTCAGGAACCTATGTGGGTGGTTGTCAAAATTAGGGTCCCTTGTTTGGGTACCCTAAATATTAGGTGCCGTACTATAATAGGCCCCCGAAAAAGGGACCACAATTTTGACAATCACCCATGTAAGCCGTAACACTCCCAGTGGTGCCCGGCGCCGAGGAATGGGGAGCCCCTCGTCACTGCCGTGACGGTCATGGGCTGGGGCCGATCCGAGGGGACCCCGTACTGGCTCGCTGGGAAGCGCAGTTTTCGGGGGTCTCTTTGGGAGTTTCGGGTTTAGGGAAAAGTTTAGGGTTGAGGGTTTAGGGTTTAGGGAAAGTTTCGAGTTAGGGAAAGTTTCGGGGAAAGTTTCGGGTTTAGGATCTGTTTGGGAGTTTCGGCAATTATGACTACTTTTACTACCATTCTTCCATTCCCTACTAACCAAAGGTAAGTAGATGGTGCAGGGTTTAAGATGTCGGGTTGTTGTTGCGAGTTCAGAGTTTTGCGACTAGCATGCTGGTGATGCTAGGGCGTGCTATGGATTGAGTATGGATATGGTTTCAATAGGACTTGAGCAACGTGCCACCGGACAAGATTCGTGTACCGGTGAAAACGCGACCTGAGAAGAACTGCAGCGAGAGCATAGACCTGGACATGCGCATAATGCCCCCGCATCTTCTGACTGCCGGGCAAGCTCACGACCCAGACACACCAGACAGTTCTGGCGCCACCTGAGAACAGGCGGTGGTCGCGTTGCGGGCGGAACCCCATCCAGATACGATTCTTCTCCGGATGGGGCTTCCGGATGCCGTCCTGGACAGGTTTCAGGCGCAGGCAGCGCCAAGATCCAACGATGAGTTCCGCGTGAGCTGTTCAGGAACCTGAGAACCCGCAGGTCCAGGCCAATTTGCTTGTTCTGCAAGCCCGCCCCTACAAAGCTTCAGACTGGAGCACGGCCAGGCGGCAAAGGAAGGTATCTCAAACTACGCGGGGCTTCATACTATGATGTAAGCTAACTAGTCTCACCTGTAATGCAGGGTTCTTTGAGGGCTTCTTTACGGCTCTATCAGGTGCTCCTTTAGGTTTGGGGTCTGAGGCTTTGCTTTAGAGGCTACACGTAATCTATGAGGCTCTGCACCTAAACCCTACATTAGACCCCCAACCCCCAAACCCTAAACCCTAAACTGCCAAAATTGCGATCCAAGTGACTTCTCCTTCCCGAAACCCTAAAGCTTTTGGGGTTTTGGGTTTTAGGGTTTGGCGGTAAAGCCCTAAACCCTAAACCCGGAAATCATGAGCGAGCTTCCATGCACCCGCCCGCGGATCAAAGAGGCTACTGCACATTAAAAAAAAAAACCCGGAAACCCTAAACCTAAACCCCTAAACCCCTAAACCCCTAAACCCCTAAACCCCTAAACCCCTAAACCCTAAACCCCTAAACCCTAAACCCTAAACCCCTAAACCCTAAACCCCTAAACCCCTAAACCCCTAAACCCCTAAACCCTAAATATCCCTAAATCCCTAACCCTCAAGGGTTTCGGGCTTAGGGTCTTGGGGTTTGGATGGGGCTCTGATGGGAGTCAGGATTAGGGGGGACCCTTGGCCCTTGGGGATGTAGACCCTCTCAATAAGGCCCCTTGTAAGAGAGCCAGAAGTAGGGTTCAGAAGGGGTACCCTTTAAGGGGTCTCCCTAATAATACTACGGTTGATGATATAAATCCTGCATGACCCATAATACGGAATATACCATAACTCCCATAGTTTAGGGTCCTTAAGGTAGTGCAGGATTTATATCATCAACCCTAAACCCTAAACCCCTACAGATCCCTTAAAGGAGCCCCTAAAAAGGTACCCTTATAGATCCCTTTAAAGGAACCCAGGGACCTATCTGAGTTGGGAGCTTCGGCTGCGGTGGTCTGGGTTTCGGGTTTTCAGGGCTGCTGGGAGCTTCTTGGGTGGTTATCAGGGTTCCTTTAAGGGTCCCTTTAAAGGGATCTAAAGGGATTCTACAAGGGTATAGGGTTTAGAGCTTGCTTGGAGCTTCATGGGTAGCTATAAGTGTGGATATAACAGGCTCCTTTTAAAGGGTTCTATAGGGTTTGGGTTTAGGGTTTAGGGATGAGGGTTTAGGGTAGTTATAAGCAGGCTTATAAGTCATAAGTAGGGTCACTGTACTTGTAACCCATTGTGGGGGACTTATAACCCCACTTATAGCTACCCATATGTCTCAAAGTGTAGGTTGACTGCACGTGAAGATATCGCAAAGTTAGCTACGGCTGTTCTCATGTGCAAGTCCAATTTCGATGCTACAAAAGCCTACACCCTAAACCCTACACCCCAATCCCTAAACCCCAAAAGCCTACTTATAACCATCCATGAACCACGACCCTCCGCAGCATTGCATGAAGACGAACCCTCGAAAAGTTTTAAGACCCAAACGCCCGTAGCGCAGTACTCAATTCAAAGCTGCTCCCTCCCACCCACTGCCCAGTCAATTTACAGCATCGGGTTCCAAACTAAGGGTTCTATCCCTAAAGGTCCAAGTGCCTAACTTTCATATACTCTCCAAGATGGTAACCTACACAACTACTATCCTACACCCAAGTACCTAGTTGTTGGGTTATTGGGTCCTTTGTATGAAACCCTAACCCCTACCTAAACCCTACCTAAACCCTACCTAAACCCTACCTAAACCCTACCTAACCCTACACCGAGTTCTATGTTTTAGATCCAGCAGGGGGCCTGGGTATGCCTCGCACGGACGTAGACAATGGAGTCGGTATGATTAGCACTTGGAGGTACATGGGTAGTTATAAGTAGGGTTATAAGGGGTTAAGGTTTCCTTGGGTTTAGGGATTAGGGTTTAGGGTAGTTATAAGTAGGGACATAAATAGGATAACTATACTTAGAACCCATATGAGGGGACTTATAACTCCACTTATAACTACCCATGAACCTCCAGGCAATGATGCCCCCGTAGAGTCCTTTTAGAAGCATAGCAAGTCAAAACCCAGAACCCTGTTCCACCTACGGCCGTTAGAGTATAACCGTGGAGTAGCCCCTAGGGAACCCACAAAGGAATCGTTTTGAACACCCTTAAACTGACAGTAATTTAATTTTCCGGTGCTGGAAAGCCATGAAAGCCGCCTCAAGCTCCAAACCCTGGACTCGTAACACCAAACTCCCCAAACTCACCAAGATTGAGTTCACAGAAACTCAATAGGGAGTTTCCGAATATAGGGGACCTAATATAGTACCCTAAACAGTAGGATCCTTATTATAAGGACCTCAAATAAGGTACCCTTTGTTTTCGCAAACTCCCCATTGAAGCTCAGAAGCCTTTCAATATCTGGCGGAGACCAAAAGAACAAAATTATGGTAATGATAGTAAACCGGAATGATGACAATAATGATAAGTAATAACAGTAATAGTAAGAATAATACTAACAGCAATAACTATAATAATAGGAAGACAAAAACCTGGAGCACAGAACTAATATTGTCATGATCAAGCAGTGGCCGAGTGCTTGGCCAAGAGAGCGTATGAAGCCCCTTAGAATTTAAGGCAGGTACCTGAATTAAAGGGGCATCTAGGAACAAACGAGCCCCTGAGGTCAAGAACTCCTGGGGCACCGGCTGGGGAGAAGACGGCTATGCTAGAATCGCGATCAACTCCGGCGCCGCACGGGAGGCACGGTTTGGGGTTTAGGGTTTTAGGTTGAGGGTTTGAGGTTTAGGGTTTCGAGGGTAGCTATGACATGAGGGCTCCTTCTCAGGGTTCATGTAAGAGTTCCAGAACGGTACAATACGGGTTCTGGGTTTAGGTTCGGGATTTGTTCAGGGTTCTAGCGTGCCATGATATAGAGTTTAGGGTTTAGAGGGTTTTACAGTACAACTGACACTTAGAGATTTTGTGATGAAGCCCTAAGCCCCTAAGCCCGCAAGCCCGACACCCCAAATCGCCAGATCGAAAATCCAGAAACGGCTTTCCACTAAACCTTAAACCCTAGAACTAAACCCTGAACCCTTAAAGCCCTAAAACCCCAAACCCTGATCCTAAACCTTAAACCCTAAACTCTAAAGCCCTCAAAGCTAAAACCTTGTGAGGAGTCGGCGGTCGTCGGCTACGCGGCCACCAAAGAGGCGTTGGAGGAAGCCGCAAAGAAGAAGGAGGCATGGCCAGGGTTGAGGGTTTAGGGCTTAGGGTTTAGGGGGTCCTCAAAAGAGAATTCTGCAAGGATTTCCCAGGTGTTTGTTTTGCTTTTACACGAGCTTCACAAGGTCTTCTTATGGTTTCCGAAAGGGCCTCAGTAATTAGAACTATGACTGCGAATCTTAAACCTCACACCCCCCTGGCTCGGCACTAGCTTGATTTGACGTATGTCTAGACAACTAGCACACGACAAAACCGGGAGGTTTGAGGTTTCCTTGGTGATTATGGCTTCAGGGTTTTGTATCCCTAAATCCTAAACCCTGACATGTCGGGGGGTTAGAGGGGGTTTTAGGCTTTAGGGCTGACTCAAAGGTTTGGCAGTCACAGCTAGGTCGTTTCAAACTAGCGCGATGGAAAATCAAGACGTTTGTTCAGGGTATGTCCCTTTCAACCTGCGAACCCTGACCCCGAACCATTTCGTACATCCCTGATTGGTAACCCCGCTTCTCTTCTTGAAGGCAGTTAATAGTCGGATCCCTTGTAATCCCTCTTGAGTGGACTGAAGTTTGTTCATCAGTGTTCATTTTGCAACCGCACGCAACCCCAACACAGAAATCTGTGAAACACTACCTCAAGACCAGATGCTCAGGTGATAAATAGAAGGTCATACCAATTAGAAGTCGCAGTAGCCCCCATAAAGCTCGACTAGAAGATACCCCCGAACCCTTAAGCCTTACATGCCACTTGTGAATGCCCGAGAGTATTCAGGCATACGTGGTTGGGCCTCCAAAACCGCAGTAAGATCGGTTCCTATCTTAGTGGGTTCAGGGTTTAGGGCCTTGGCTGACGGTTTCGGGTTTAGGGTTTAGGGGTGGATCTCCACCTACCTTCGAGGCCTTGATAGCTGGAGCTGTTCAGGACTTTCTCTCGAGAGTTTTGCAACCCTAAACCCTAAACCCCTAAGTGGCATGGACCTTTAGGGTCTATTTGGCAATCCTGCTGGGCTTTGTATTTAAACTGCAACAACACCACGGCGACAAGGACGACGACGACTCGGTTTAGCACGACGACGACGACTGGGTTCAACACGGCGACGACAAGGTCTGGCATGACGGTTACATCGGGAGGCCGAAGCGTGTACAGTGTAAAGGTCTCGACAGGAGTTTAAGGGTCTAGGGTCTTAGCTCCTAACTATGGTTTACCGGGGTCAGTATACTATGGAAGATCTAAGGTTTGGAGTTTATGAGGATTTAGATGGTTTTACGCTCTCACAAGTTCTCCGTGCTGGTTTTAGGGTCTATCACAGTCTATCACAATGTCCTCCCGTCCCTCTCGCGCCGGGAACCATCAAGAATCTGTCTTGTGTATTTCTCGTCCTGTGTCTTTCTCTCATTCCCGTTCCTCTTCCTGCCTATCCACTCTGCCGTTTGTCAAGAAGACACAGAAATTGAAGTCATGACAGAGGAATAGGCATGAAGATGGACGAAGTGAACTCTTCATTCTCTCGTCTCTCCCTTCTCTCCTTCCTTTGATTGATCCTTTTTCTGTTTCTTTTCTTGTCGCCTTCTGCTGTCAATGACAGGGGTAACACGAGGGAGGGGCAAAGGGACGACGTCAGTTCCTCTCGACGTGGTTCGTTTTTTCATTTCCTCTCGCGTTGTCTCTCTTCCGCCTCTCTCTCTCTCTCTCTCTCTCTCTCTCTCTCTCTTTTTCTCGCTCTGTCTTCCTCTCTGCCGTGTCTCGCTCTCTCATCTCTTCTGTCCCCTCTTTCCTTGCTCCCTTGCTGGAAGGAATAGAAAACAGAAGCGAAGACATAAGATGGAGGAAGATGGTTGGGAGAAGGAAGATGGATTCCTCCCTCACTCGGCTCTTTGACTTTCTTTGCCCTTGCCTTCTTTTCTCTGCTCCTATCCTTCTTCACAATTAGAAGGAGAAGCGACAAGAACGGAGAGCTCAGGGAGAGCAAGTGACACTGTTCCTCATAATCTCCTCCTTCATCGTGTTCATTGCGTTGTCCATCTCCCCCTCTCTCTCTCTCTCTCGCTCTCTCTCTCTCCCTCCATCCTTTCCTCTCTACTTCTGCACATTTACTTTTCCACTTCTCTCGCCTACTACATTATGCTTGATTTGATACTTATCTTCAACTTTCTCTCACTCTCTTTGTCCCATCGCTTGCCCTGTTCCTTCTCCTCCTCCCTTCCCTGCCTCCCGTCCTTCTCCCCTTATCACTCAGAAGGAAGAAGGAAGACTCACAAGGAGAAAGACAAGGGAGTAAGAAAACAGACAAAAGAAACGGAGAGAGAGCCATAAGGGACGAAATACAGAAACAAAGAGAGAAAATATGGGGGAAAGATAATCAAAAAGAGAGACAGAAAGAGGAGGCGATGCATAAAGCAGCCGACAGTGCCTTGACCTCCACGTCTATTCATTCTTTGTTCTTGTCCTATCACACTGTCTCATTGGTGATAAACCAGGAAGAGCTTGTGGAGGGAGACGAGGAAGAAGTGTTCTCCTCTTCACTCACCTTGTGCCCTTCCTCTCCCACCGCTCGCCCGCTCTCCTTTCTTTGATTTTCTTGTCTGGCGGAAAAGTGGGAACCAGGAAGGAAAGTGGACAAGGGAAAGGACGAGATTGAGAAATGACAGAAAGAAGAGAGATACAGAGAGAGCGAGGGAGAGCTTCAAGCCCAGCAGAGGAAGAAGAGAGAGGAAGATAAGAGAAGGGGGCAAGGGGTGGCCAGAAGAAGCGTAAGCCAAAGCTACGTATTGAAAGGGCGGAAGCCCCTGTCTCCTCTTCTTCCTCTTTGCTCTCTTGTTTTTCTCTTAGCGCAGGGCATGCATGGAGCTAGGAAAGGGAAGGGGTCAAAGCGGATGAGAGAAAGTAACGGAGAGAGCTGTTCTTCGTCCCTCTCACCTCCTCCTCTCATTCTCCTGATGCTTACTCATGTCAGAAGGGTCTGGAAAGGAGTGAAGGCTAGGGCATGGACTGAAGCGAGGCAATAGGTGAAAGTGGATAAGAGAAAGTCATAGACAGAGAGTGGGGGAAGTCGAGTGCGAAAGAAAGAGAAACGAGGAAGACTAGGAAGAAGGACACAGAAGAGGAAGCGAGAGAGTACCAGTGTTGCCGTATCTCAAAGGACTCCGGGCCTCGCGAGGGCTTTGAGGAGGCTTGTAGGCGCCTTCAGACACTTCCACAACTTTCTGGAAGCCACCAACTTCCTCCCTAAGGGGGCCTCCCGAGGACATGAACACCAAACCGAGTATAAAGAAAGCAGGGGGATGTAGAGAAGCAGAGTTTGGTAAGAAGGAGCAAGGAGAATCAGTTCGCGTCTCCTCATCGTTTCCTTTTTGAATGACCAGAGGAAAGAAAAGAATAAGGAGGAAGGGCTCTGCGAAGACATAAGGAAAGAAGAGCAGACAACAGAAAGGAAGCGGTAAGATGCGGGAAGACGGTTCGGAGAAGAAAGGAGAATTCCTCCTTCGCTCGCCTCTCTTACTTCCTTGCCCTTCGCCTTCTTCCTCTTCTCTTACCCTATTCATCTTCATAAGGAAGGAGAAATGAAAGGAACGGAGAGTTCAGGGCATGCAAAGGGCACTCTTCTCATCACCTCACCATCCTCCTTTTCATTGTTCTCTCCAGATCCCTCTTTCTCCCTCCCTCCCTTCCCGTCTACTTCTGCACATTCCCTTTTCCGCTTCTCTCCGCCTATTATGTTCGCTTGGAAAGAATCGCTTGCCCCCTATTCCTTCTCCTCCTGCCTTTCCTGCCTCCCGTCCTTCTCCCTCTATCACTCAGAAGGAAGAAGGACAATTCACAAGGAAGAAGACAAGGGAGTAAGAGAAAGACAACAGAAGCGGAGAGACAATCCGAGAAGGGCAGAAGAAGAAAGAGAGCCATAAGGAAACAAACACAGAAACAAAGAGAGAAAGTAAGAGAGAAAGACCAGCAAAAACAGAGGCAGAGAGTGAGAGAAAGGGGGAGGGGAAGCGATGCAGAAAGCAGTCGAAAGTGCCTTGCTTGTCCTATCTCACCGTCTCATTGGTAAAAAACCAGAAAGAGGTTGTGGAGGAAGACAAGGAAGAAGTGTTCTCGTCTTCACTCACCTTGTGCCCTTCCTCTCCCACCGCTCGTCCGCTCGACAGAAAGAAGAGAGTTGCGGAGAGGGCGAGAGAGAGCTTCAAGCCCTTCACTCACCTTGTGCCCTTCCTCTCCCACCGCTCGTCCGCTCGACAGAAAGAAGAGAGTTGCGGAGAGGGCGAGAGAGAGCTTCAAGCCCAGCAGAGGAAGAAGAGAGAGGAAGATACGAGAAGTGTGGAGGAAGTGGCCAAAAGAAATGCTACGTAATGAAAGAGGGGAAACCAGTTTCTCCTCTGCTCTTCCTCTTTTCTCTCTTATTCTTCTCTTCTCGCAGGGCATGCATGGAGCCAGGAAAGGGAAGGGGTCAAAGCAGATGAGAAAGTAATGGAGAGAGCTGTTCTTCGTCCCTCTGACCTCCTCCTCTCATTTTACTCATATCAGAAGGGTCTGGAAAGGAGTGAAAGGTAGGGCATGGACTGAAGCGGGGGAATAGGTGAAAGTGGATAAGAAACAATGTTAGACAGCTTGCCGAAGGCGGCCAGCTCGCAGCTTGCCTGCGGCCTGGCCTGCTGACAGCTGAGCCTGGTGGGCTCTCGAGGGTGGGCAGGGGCCTGCTGAGATCCACGGCCAGCACGCCCGGCTTGCTTTGAGGCAGGAGGCTTGTAGGCGCCTTCAGGCACTTCCACAACTTTCTGGAGGCCACCAACTTCCTCCCTAAGGGAGCCTCCCAAGGACATGAACACCAAACCGAGTATAAAGAAAGCAGGGGGATGTAGAGAAGCAGAGTGTGGTAAGAAGGAGCAAGGAGAATCAGTTCGCGTCTCCTCATCGTTTCCTCTTTGAATGACCAGAGGAAAGAAAAGGATAAGGAGGAAAGGCTCTGCGAAGACATCAGGAAAGAAGAGCAGACAACAGAAAGGAAGCGGTGAGATGCGGGAAGACG